TGGCGGTGGCACACTTACTGAGGTGTTCAATGGCCTGCCACTGTGCTGTTCCAGGGTTTCGGGGCCGAATTCGACTCGACCCCGACCGGTCGCCTGGAGCGGGAACACCTCAATGTCTTTGGATGGTTCCGGTGGACGCTTCCATCCCCGAAAGTCCTCGCGGCGATTGAGTGTGGCGAGAAGAGAGCTAAAGTACACTGCGGGAACAGATAGAGAAGGTTTGAGATGCGCGTGGGCATAGACAAGCTGACTTACTTCTACTGAGCATGTAAAATGCGCCATCGTAGGCAAACGAATGCCGCATCCTGAGCATCTACATATGATTTAGAAAGCGCACCAACTCCGAAGATACGTTACCTACAATGGCTAGTGTCGCGATTGCGACAACACTTGATTCAGGCGTAGTTAAACTAAGTATTGTGTGTGCGTGAGATCGCGTATTCAGACCCACCTGGTCAGAACTCCTGTCGTCACGACGTAAAGTACGAGAAGACTGATCAAGGACGTGGCCCTGAGTAAATCAAAAGTCAGAAACTCAGGCCACATCAAGGCATGGTAAGCAGTACACACTGCTCAAGCCCAGATCGAACCTTCCATAACAAGACGCACTGAATGCCGGCGAGTTGCACATCGGAGATGAGTGCTGAGGTCAAGGTAACCTCTATTTGAGCGAGGAGATCTATTGCGATAATGTCTGGCTTTCCGGTCCTGCCCTAACAATAAGTGGTGGGTTCATATAGGTACTACCAAAGTATACTCACGTTCGCACTGCAGCATCTACGTATCAGAGCAAAAGTTCATGAGGACCAGTATGTGATGTAAACAAACATATTGCTTACAAAGGCCGGCAACTGCATGAACAAGACGATCTTCAGTGGAGGAGTCTCCGTATCTGACTCTGAGGGAAGAGCATACCTAGCGCGCACAAAACAGGGAGCACCTGTTGCAGACATAAATGAATCACAGCGTGCGAAACTCGCCAGACAATACACGTACTACGATAGCCGTGACTACCTTGTTTCTGTTGCTGACTAGAAGAACGGTGGAATCAAATTATGTTACACTTACTGTTGGAGCTACGAGAGCCATACGTCTCCAGATCCTGTAGCAGTAAAAGCTACAGTGGAAAAAGCCACTCAGAGTGACTGTCGAAGGCATGATGTCGGACCAATTTAAACGGACCTCTTGACAGTTGTATCAGTGATCACCTAATTGAGAGAGATAGTTATTGATGAGCGTGCTGCGACGTGTTCCCTGCATCGAAGTACTCACCATCAGAAAGAACGAAGCCTATACGAAACACGAAGTTGAAACTTTCTAAGGTCTCGCCGAGTACGAAAATGACTCAGACTCACGGATAGTGTCCTACTCCATTATTAGTCACCGTGATGACTGATTATATCAATGGATACTCACCATGGCACTGTATCTTGGAGTAGACCTGAGGGATCCTCGATGAATTCGATTGCGACTTGATGCGCGGATATCGCCCCAAGAACGGCATGCATCACATCTCCAATCCTGCCCGAGTAAGTGTTAGCGCCTGTTGAATGGTGATTTCACAGAGGTCAACGACACGAACCAAAGAGTAAACACCTGGCGTATACATGGGTCATATCCTTCCGTCAGACGAAAAGTGGGAGCTGAAGGTGGTTGTCAATTGTTAACGTACGGTGTGACGCATCCACGACGGGTCTCCTGTCGACTGCTTGAAGTAGACATAAGTTTGATGCGATGTGAACCCGCAGAACCTAATTTCATGCACAATTAGTATGGATATCCAGATATCTTATACATAAAGATCACGCACGCTGCCGCAAGGAAGCTTCCAGCGTATAAGCCGTCGAAGGACGCACGGGCATCCGTAATACCCGGAGAAGGCATGAGAGAAGGGACAAGAGTGCCTCGTATCAGGAGAGGACACACACATATATACTAGCGCGCAACGATTCCGTGTTGATCAAAACCTGTACCAAATTGGGTTCCTTCACTACGTTCCAGGAAGCAGAGCTAGAGATGCTATGCCGCCTTGTTCTATCCTAGGAGAGGTGAAACTTGCACCCTCGTTCATCTGATGTTGACCGCCCGAGTGGGGCTGTGTTGAAGAAGGAGAACAGGAGGGACCGCCTTCCTGCAGCAACCATTGTTCGATAATGGCTGGCTGAACAGAGTCCACAAGAAAACAGTGCACGTTTAAATGGATGTGTAGCTTTGGTTTGAGGGCATCCACCTCTGACCAAAGAAAAATCACCACAGCATGTGTATTCGTCCACGGAGAGATCACGGAACTGGGCAGCACTCCGTGCCCTATCCACGGAGAGAGGAGCCATTGACATCATGAACGGAATATGGCGCGTCAGGCGACCGATGTCTAGAGGATACAAGCACGGGAATCATGCTGCGGCGAGCCCTTAGTCAGAACCACCACCCTCTTAGAGGCGGGTACTGGTGACCCGCAGTGATTGCATGAGTACAACTATTGTCAAAACATGTGTTTGTCTCAGCACGAAATTATGATAATCGGAAACAATGGCGGTGATTTTCATGGCTCAGATAGGCCACATTTTACCTCGTGCCAAGAACTTGAGCAATATTTTCGACAGAACTTGACAGCGGCTTTCATATCGATAGATAGCCCTCGACTTTCCGTGAGTGCACCAAGCATCAATGGATGACTTCCCGTAGACAAAATTATATGTTTATTCGACGCGATCACCGCTCGGCAACGCTCGGAGATGAAGACGGCAGCCAGCTGCAGCCAACCATTGAGCTGCGATCTTCATTTCGGAGCATTGCCGAGCAGCGATCGCGTTGAATCAATCCCGAATAAACATATCTTTTCTCTACGGGAAGTCACCCAATATAGATGAACCAAACAACTCCCGATCCTGCGGGAGAGGATCTCGCAACTCTGTCCGTTGTCAAAGAGAAGCATCAAAACGGCCTTGCGTGGCATTCCTTTGCCCCAAAGAGCGAGTGTTTGGTCAAGCCTATATTATATTTGGCACACTCATAGAATATTGGGGGCTATCTATCGTTTTGAACAAGGGGGAGGCATAAATAAAATAAAAAACCGGGGGTAGGGGGGGAGGGGGGGTCCGGGGGGTCCTTAAATGTGAACTGTCCTGACCTTACGCGGAGCCGTTTTCAGTCATTTTAGCAACCTTTTGACAATTTTTTACATGGTCTTATGTACTTTTCATGCATCTCTTACTCTAATATCAAGGTTTGAATGTTTTCTATTGACCTCAAAATCAGAAAAGGCTGTATATGAACAATTTTAGGCTAGGTTAAGCTACGGTCGACGTCGGTCATCCCCTCCCCTAGCCTAGGCTAGGTTAAGCTACGGTCGAC